ACTACAAAAACAACACCAGAAACACCGGGGGGGGTCGCACCAGAGGAGAAAGTCTCCTGAAGGGGGTTGTGTGATGGCTCTTAGCTCTGCTGCCCTTTGATGGGTGCGTGTACTTAGATACCCGGTGGGCGTGGCCAAAATAGGGCGAGGGCTTGACGTGGACGGATATAATTAGGCTTCAGCGCTTCTTCCTGAGCTTGGAGACGATAATTTCCTTCTTATTAAACAGCTGTGTGTTCTACTGCTTGAACTAAGAAGTTCCGAGAGGAAGAATTAACTTAGATTGTTTATGCTTTTTGCAAAGGTATACATTAGGCAGAGGCGAAAAGTGGTTATCAGGTCTTACGTATGATCATGAAATCAACATTAAGCACACCTTGAAGACAATAGGAACGTTTACCTTGTAAACGGTGCTCCCGTCTAATATCTGTGCTCCCGTCTAATATCTATTGCAGCACAAATTTGGGAAACACCGGTCCATTTCGAAGCCTTGCCCCTGTGGCCACGCCCACCCGGGTATCTAAGTCACGTTGCCCCCTGATTGAATCAAATTTCTCAGGTCCGGCTGCCTACCCTGCCAACAAGCCTGTGCATCCCCCCGTGACCAGCTAAATGCGTATCTAGGTTCAAGAAGAGGTAGAAATGCTTGATCTGTACCGGCCTAAAAGGCGATGTATAGGCCAGAGTTTTTAGAATTCAAGAGTTGCTTACGATCCGAGTTTCCGTGTAAAAATGCGTGGCACATCCTAAAAAAGGACGAACTAGCGGAATGATTCATTATTTTTATGTTGCAGGTGAATGCACATGTGCAGGATTTTGCCGAGAAAGTTCGTACAATGCATAGAATATGCTCTGATCTAACCAATCGTATACAACAGAACAAAGAGAAAACTCAGGATCTGCTCAGTAAAACCAGCGCTCTACAAAACCAAAAGTTGGTTTATTTTCGAATGAGGTTGTATTTTGGACTGAATCCTTTCACTTTGCAGAAAACGTCTGGAATCAAAGCAGAAAGCAATTGATGATTTCCTTGGAAGGTTTTCCTTGAACGAACACGAAAAGAGAGCGCTTGAAGGTAACACTAAAGGTGGGTAAATGCTTCACTAGCTTGCTTTCAGTTCTGTTGACATGATGGATTTTGTCCTTTGTCCACTTATTTCCTCAATGAGCGATGACTTATGATTTTGCTGTTTCGAATTTACTGATCAGCAGTCAAGCTGTGGTAGCTAAATTGATCCCGTAAAAATCATATGGGCGCAGTTCGGCGACGAGAGGGGGCATTTTGCACGTTCATTGCTTTTCGTTGTCATGTCGAGCCATCAAGTGGAAATTAGGGAAATCTGATGAAGTCATGAAGTGATAGTGTTCAAAGTTTGTAGAAACTACCAGCCAGCCCTATGTGAAGGATTTCTGTCAACCCTTGAGCAACAAATACGACAGCGAGGAAGCAGCGAAAGCGCAAAATGCCTCTCTCAGTCAAATCGCACCACCACTGTTGTGGTGAACTTGTAACTGCAGTGACGCTAACGGAGTCATTGCTCGAGAGGCCAGTGTGCCAAACCAGGTCATGCCCCAAAGACCCTTCCCCCTTCTTTTTTTTCGTCTCGGTCTCTCTAGACTGCCCCTTCCCCGCCCCTCTTCAGCTATCTATGCCGCTGCAATTTTATTCCATTAAGATGGCACCATCACAAGCGACTTCTTCCCTGCTCTCGCACGTGCCCGGGACATCTATATTGATAGTAAAGAACTGCTTCGAAGCAGTGGAGAACACTCTGCCGCGTGAGTTTGAAATTTGGAAGTTAATTATATAATATCAATCATCTTTATTATTTCGTTGACTATTGCCAAAGTAACTAGCAAGCTAAATGGTGACATTCAGGGTGGAAATCATGGAGGAAATGTCACAAACATTGGAAAGGGCCTACGAAGTACTGTACCGAAGCATACAAAGTGAGTGATTTGCTTGAAAGCGTTCGTTTCTAATGCTACTTTTCTCGGGTAATGCCGTTTGGACTCCAGAAATTTCGGCTCCGAGCTCATTTTCATTGCCTAAGCCACCAAATCCACTAAAAACTTGTATATAGGGTAATTCAACATCCTGATTACGAGTATGACACTCATTCTTGGCGCTGGCGCCAAGAGAGGACACTACGATTACCTCCTGGGCTCAGCCTTAGCAGAGCGCAGGTAATCGTAGTGTCATCCATTAGCGCCAGCGCCAAAAATGAATGTCATATTCGTGATCAGGATGTTGAATTACCCCTATATACAAGTTTTTAGCGGATTTGGTGATCTTGCCACTTTTAAAATGAGCTCGGAGCCGAAATTTCTGGAGTCCAAACGGCATTAGCCTCTTTTCTCTGACCATTAACACAGGAATCTCCTAAACGACTCCTTTTTTGCTAAAATCTACAAAGCCTTGTAGGTTCTACGGGAATTGGAAAGTAGTTGCGAAATAATGTCGTGGCAAACTAGTCTTTTGCGCTGTCTAAAGTCAGCACCTTTTGGGGGAGGGATCACTTCGATACGATGAGCAGACTTAGTCGTGCCGCCCCTTGCTCCCTCTAATCTACCCTGCATCCTCATCACCGCCCTCCTTATTCTACTGAAGAACATTTCTGCTTTTTCAAAAGAATCTACATCTCCAACACTCCGAAACTCTTTAGGGGAATGTCGCATCCTGAGCGCAGACTACGTTGAGATGAAAGCTGTGCTGTGTCAGTCATTCGCCGCATTACAAGAAAGAGAGGTCCTACTGAAATATGCTTTAGGTTGGTTAGTCACGCAATGAAAGACAAGCTCTACCACGGCTTTGATTGATTTCCTTTTAGATGAAGTTTGTACCGCACGAAAGAATCAGATTTTACGCTTGTATATTGATGCTCTGACTAAAGGTACTCACAGCAATGGTAAACCTATTGAGCTGATGAGCCACGATCCGCTACGGTTAATTTTCGCACTTTCACTACGAGTTGTTCTGTTCTTTACGCGATTTCACACTAATTCCGTTTCAAGGTATATGGGTGATATGCTCGCATGGATTTATGAAGCTTTAGAAGGCGAGAGAGAGCTTTTGCAAATGCTGCTCAAAGAGTGTGACCCACAAGGTGAGTGCTTCTTTCAGGTAGAGCCCCTAGCTGTATATCGTTAAATATGAACGTACCGTAGTTGAATCTGTGGACTGAAAGGGGCGTTTCCAAGTGCCTTTCTACCAACGACTGCAAAGGTTTAGAGCGAAGAGAAGGCAAATATATAAGAGAAGTGCATCGGAGCGGGAATACGCTGCCATCGCCCTAACATCTCTTCACGCCCATCGATATGGGCTCAGTTACTCATTCTTATATTTTCCAGTTATTCGGGAAAACCTGACGAGCCTTCTATCGCAGATCTCGAGTGCTCTCTGCCGTCCATTCAAGGTATAAACTATCCGTTGTTGTCTTAAATCACTGTTATTGTGGCTTATCCCAACTCCTTAAAGTACCCATTGCTCTGCCTCAGCATTAATCTTTGACTTGAGATTCTGAAGACTCTTCTTGCGTGTTTTTGGTTTTTCGACTGTGTTTTCAAACAAATTTTTTGCAGCTCCGTGTTGAACAGGCACTGGCTGGGGAATCCGATTCCGTTGTGCTCTATCGCCTTTCTGCGCTCTTCTTATTTTATTCAGAAAAGATGACGTTCGTACCTTAACATTTGCATCTAGAATTTCCAGTTATTTTGTAAAGATAGTCCTCTAATTTCAGGCCACAGATCGGACCAGATTCGGAGTTAGCGCGTACAGTAGACGAACTCAATCAGCTGACCCTTAATATCTTTTACAGTGGTCTGAATGCGCTGTTACAGAAGTATTCTGTCCAAAGGTGGTTATACTGTTGGGTTCAGTGTTGGTCATTTATTAGGTTCAATGCCATGGTAGTAGCTGTTGCGGTTGCAGCGTTCGTCTAGCCTACTGCCTTCAGTTTTCACATTAACCTACCTGCGGTTGGTTATGGATTTCCATCTTTATCCTTGCTGCACCGTGAGCACCGCTTGGATTGCTGGGGACTACCTTCTCTGATGCATGAGCCACTGAATGTTCGATACACAGTTTCTTGTGCTACTTAGAAAAAGGCGGTTCTTATGCCCCTACCTCTGACGGCCCACAACCATTTTTATTTCGCGAAGACCTGTTCGGTTGTCACGCCTGATGGAATCGGGTGTTTATAAGAATTCTACACTAGTTACCCCCCCCCTGCCTCTATTTTCCTATTTTGGTTCGGAATTTCGCTATAACTAGGAGTTTGTTACGTTGGGGCGTTGGTTTTTTCTTTCCTAAGCGCAGATAACACTCGGCTCCGCCTGCTATGTTGGCGGCCTTACCTCCGAGACGGATTCGATTGAAAAGCTATCTTGATGTCTCGGCTGACTCCCTGTATCGCACGACCGTCAGAATAACTGCCATAATTTGTTTTCCATTAAACTTTTTTGGGTGGATGACGCCTCCCCGTATAATCCCAATCAAATGCGGATGCTTGTGTGGAGGGCTCAATAATTAGTTCCTGGAAGGCGGTGTTCAAATCACTGAAACATTTACAGATGCGATCATTTTTTTTTATTTTTTTTTTTCGGCCGTTGTCCAGATTACGACTTGCTTCCGGTATCTGCTGTACATCAAATTCTCATGCTCTTGAGGTCAGTTTTGAAGCTGCTACCCCATATACTTTCGTTTTTTTGCGCTTTCGTGCTCATTCTCAGCACTCATTTCCTCAAACTTCTTATATTGGTGTTTTCAGTAGTTTCCTAATTAATATACAGACTCAGTGCAGAAGCGTTTTTATCGGTCACCATCTTACCCTTTCCCAAGTACCAATATTCAGGGACGTGCTGGACACTCACGATGGGTGCAATTGCTCCGCGGCAGAATGCAGAGGAAGAGTTCAACAAGGTTTCTTTTTTGTTGTAATGCCAAACGATCCCAATGCATCATTACATAGGCTCCCTTGGAAACTGATGAACAAAAACATAGTTCTCTCTCCTCACATCGGTTCTTTTTCCTGTCATCTTCTTTTTCTGTTTGGAAAGCGAAAAAGCGCTGAAGAGCCGGATTTCCGTCAAGGAAAGACAACATTGAAAAGGCTTAGTTCTTCTTCGGTTGCAGGAAGGGTTTTTTCGTTCAAAGCGATGAGTCTAATGAACCTTCTAATTGAACTAGTTCAGATTTTCGGTTGCGTATTAGACCCGCTGTATAGATCGGTTCAGGTTGCCGCCACTCACTTGCATTCTCCGCTAGGTTTTTCTTTTATTATTGAAGTAAACATTCGTTTTGTTTGTAAGTTCATTCATGTTCAGACGTCGCTGTATATACGCTAAACTGTTTGTCGGCAATTTACTCTTTGGTTATTCTCTATCCGTTCACCGACTCTCGACTCGAGATGATAAAAGCTTTAGTGAGTTATTGTGATTTGCTACTTTACTTTATCTTTTTCTAGCTCACCGGTCCACATTTGTTTTTTTTCAGATGGAAGGTAACGAAGATGTCCTGGTATCTGAAGAAGCTTCAGCCATCCTCGCAAACACCGGCTTGATCAGCTTGTACCAGAAAGCAGCTGCTCATGATCGAAATCAAGTACGTGAAGTTGTAGCGTTTTGTAGTCACATAGTCGATCGTAGTTGTGCGCTACCGTACACTTAAATGCAGTTGGCATGATAAATCCCCAAAGACGAGTAGGATTTATATGCCTGGCAGGGCGGATTTCCGCGACCCTGAGCAGGCCCTGCGTAGCGGTTTTTCCCACGGAGGTACCCTTATAAGGGTCCTATCAAGCTACAACTTTCCGACCCAAACGCCTACCACGCCCGCCCACAAATGGACGACCTTACCAGATGCTCGTTTTGCTTCATTTGCTATTCAAAATATGAAGCGAAGAGATTGGTATGAAGCGGCTGCGGTGCTGAATGGATATATGAGTACATAGATGCAGCCGCACCTACCGGAGCGGTTATTTGCAATACGCCTACGGGAAACTCGTCCGAAATCGCTTTTCAAGAACGAAGGCTTTTCTTCGCAGTTTTGGACCGTTTCACTTCGTTTTTTCGCCATTTTCCCCACTAAATAGCGCCCTGCTAGCATTTTAGGCTGAGTACCAAATTATCG